TAATTTCTGGCCGTCGTTTAGTTTTCTAGGTATTTTATTGTTTTATTTGGGGCCTAAAATGCCTTTTTAATTGGGCTTTTTTCTTTTTAAGAAGGGTCGTTGCTGATTTCTTTTCATACAATTGAAAAATCAAATTTTAAATGAGGCGCACGCCTCCTGCTTCATGAGGGGCGCGCCTCAGATTTAGAGGGGTGAGCCTCATATTTTTAGCCTCAAAAATACTGCCTCGAGGCATACTACATACTCCTCACAGTGAGGCGGGCCTAAAGGCGCGCCTCACTACCGCCTTTTTAAACCATGCCTAAAGCCTTTTCCTTTTTGTGGCTGCCTTTTAACTTCACTATCATTCTTTAGGAGATTCTCATTTTAGCCATCAATGTGGACAGAGGCTTGAATTTCCATGTTAAATTTCAACAATTCTGCTATATAAAAACTAATCAGGTTCTTGCTTCACTTCAATTCCAAGGAAGCATCTCACAAAACCCAGATCTATCATCTAAAGTTGCTTCATCATCTCCCTTCTAAATTTGTCATTCATCATTCCATTTTTTCCATGTAAATCAGGTCCTCTGCATACAAATATATTGTTAAAAATCCGGTGATGACTTACGTGGACTATTAGAAAATCCACGCTGTTGAAAGTATTGCTTTTTGCTGTTTCAACTTTCAAGCCGACGGGTTTTCCATATAAAGTATTCTGCAGTCAATTCCTAATTGTTGTGAAGGTTGTATTTTTATATGGAACATAGGGGAATCATCTTATTGTCATCAAATTACTGAGTATTTCTGTTCCAAATCATTCCTATTTCCTCATCCACAATCTTGGGGATTTCCCAATTATTTGTGTTTGATGGGAGCTTTTTTATCGGAAATTCTAGGTATACGACTCAGGAGAATTAACTTATCGGTCTTCTTGTTGTCATCAAGTTGTCTTGTATCTCTCTTCCCAATCATTCTGATTTCCTCATCGACATCTTTGGGGATTTACCAATCATCATTCGTTCTTAAAAATCGTTTTTTAATTATTGCATGTGTGAATTTGAAAAGAATGGACTTGATGTTGCACATTTTACTGTTAACAAATCACTATTAAGTTCTAAATCGAGGTTTTTTAACTACTGGTGACTGCAGATCGAAAGATGGAATGAGCAGAGGGAAAACGGAACCTTTCCAGGTCCTCTGTAGATGGTGCACGCCGTTGAAGTTCCAGCCAAACTTGTGACGTGCAGTCTTTTTTCTTGAGCAATTTAAAGGGAATAAAAGTTTTTGGTGTGTCGAACCGTGTAATGCGGCCCCTTTGATTAAATTGTTATGAAAGAGTATTATACTATATGGTCATTTAATTTTCTAAGATTGCAACAATAATCATAAATAAGTGTGTTACTACTCTTTTTAGCCCATGTTTGATGAAAATTAAAATTAGATTTTTAGTAAATTTTGATGAAATTTGTGGTTGAAAAATTGTGAGTTTCATGAAATATGTGGTTAACATTAATTGTTAATTTTGATTTGATTAAAATCTAAAATTTTAGTCTGAAATTGGAAAGGTACATATAATAACATTAAAAAATATTTTTTTTGTCTGTATAATTTCATTAGAAAGTACATCTGGGCTCCGGTTACTGTTGAAGAAAATAAATCCACACATTGATCTTTTATATTTACCATGTTCAAAGTACTTTATATTTGATTTATCATGATTATCTAAATTAATTTTGATTCATCATGGCACCCAACTTCTTGCAACGTTTCAGTCAAATCGTCTGATTATTACCACAACAAAAAATAATTATTACTAAAACAAAAAATGAAAAATGAGAAT